AGCTCTGCCAGACGAAAGGGTTTCTCTATCAGGCTTTAAAACTGTAGCCTGAATTGTAAAATGTTGTCTCACGCTCTAAAGCCTCTAAATGCATCTTTCCACACAACCAAAGTGTGTTTCTCCTCCCTTTCCCAAATTCAGACATCATTAATTGTCATTTCTATATTTTGTCACAAAACCTCTGCGGCGTGTGTAGCATTGTTGCCAGGATTTACAAGGCCCAGACACAATGCCGGAGCAGCACTCTGTAAGGACGTGTCTACACAGACGTGGTAGCATGGTGACAACTAATGACACATAAAAGTGGGCAGGTGAAACTGCCACCACCATACACAGAATGCAGCGCAAGCACAAGCAAAGATTATCAGAAAAATGATAGAAATATGCTAGAGCCACACTTGCAAACATTCTCTGATTTCCTTCAGAAACTGCACAGCAAAAAGAGAAAGAAATTCACAGTCACAATGCCCCCAGCAGACAGAGAAGGAGGGAAGCGGGACCATCCTGTGGGCACTGAGAGTTCCACCAGTGACGGAAATGGGGTAGGTTTCCAGAAACATTTCACACTTGTATGTTACTATTAATATGGACAGAAATATTAAAAGCCTAACATGCTAAAAAAATGTCAAGTGTAACTGAAAACATTAACACACAAAGAGCACAAGCCCAGGATCCATCAATGAAGCTCAAAGATAAACTTGTTTCCATTACATTTGTTTGTAAAAGAGAGAGGCTGCTTCAAGGGTAGTGTAATATGACGATGGGTCAGTTTCGTGTGTCTTGCAGCACTCTGAAAAAGAGGAAAACATCATTACAGTGATGTGGATGTTGTGGAGTGACTGCTGTGCTTTTAGACACAGAACTCACTTTTTTTCAGAGTTTCATCTGTTTTGGAGATTCTACTGATTTGTGAGTTGATTCTAAAAGGGAAAAGGGGAGGAGAAGTGGGGAAATAACTACTGTAACCACCTGCAAATATTTATCGCCAAAATACAATAACTGCAGAGTGAGAAGGGTTTTGTTCTTTTCTTTGTTCTTTCTTTTGTTCTTCCCTCAGTACTTTTTCCTACTCTCCCCCTCCTTCCTCCTTTCCTACTAGTTGCTTCTCCGTAGCCCCTTTGTTGTGTTTTCCTTCCAAATTAATTTTTCACTCCCATTTGTAAATATTGAATCTCCCTCCATCTGTTGTGGGGTTTTTTGCAATCTTTAAATCTATTCCCACATGTATTATTCTAATTTTTTTCTTTTTCTTTTTTTTTTTGAGCTCTCCTCAGTGTTATTGAGACCTTTTTTTCCTCCACTCTTTCATGATCATCTCCATTTCATGTGTCTGAGATACAGTTTCACCACTTTTCTTTCAGCACAACTCAACCAAATATATTTACAGCAGCTACCTGATCTGAAGTCGGGTCCTCTTAGCTTGTTAATAGGACAACTAACTGCAATACAGGTATGTTAGTCATGATAGTACGAGGTGGGAGGAAGCAGGAGATGGATGCTAGTAGCAGCTCATACATGACAGCAGAGGGTTCGCTTCACACCTTAACCTGTGTAGGAGAAGGGAGAGACACACTTAATAGGTGCCATTTGGGTATACATTGGGCTGTGAAAGTAGTTGTGGTTTCTTATTGACCCCCTCCAGCTACATTGAGAATAATAATACATCAGTTTCCATGAGAAACATGCACATCTACTTGCACAAAAGCCCCAATATATCTGCAATTTACCTTTATCTGGTTCTGAACAATTGCACAACTTAGAGATGCTTACCAGAAGCCCCTTCGCCAGAACACCTACACACTGGACTCTTAAGAGGGCATCTAGACTCTATCTCTGTTCAGCTATTTTATCATCCTTATACTTAACAGATCTCTGGGAACTAAGGAGAGGAAGTCTTGACATATAAAAGCAGATTGTATTTATACTATTTTTCTATATTCTTCATTATTTCTAAGAATTGCTTTTGCATGTGATTGTCCAACAGTCTTAGCTGCACTTTCAGGAATGTGCCTCAGAAAGCATGAGCCATCAAAAGGAAATGTATGAAAGTGTGCTGGATAAATACATGAGTCAGAACAACAGCACCTGTTTCAAGTAGTCTAGCAATGACTGTGTGTTGTCCCCTACAGAACATGATAGAAGATTTGAAAACTACCATCAACAGTTTTGCATGAAGTCTCACATTTGTTTCTTCCCCTCTAGTGCACAGCATAGCAACAGAATTAAGCTTTGGAGAAGCAGCGTAGGCATGAGGAAAAGGGGTCACTATAGATCTTAATTCCAAGACTGGACTAAGTGTGAACTCAAAGCATGGTTCAGGGGTTTCTTTTTTTTGTCCAAGCTGCCCAGCAATATCTGAAAAAGCATTTCTATTTCATATTATCTGGATAATATTTTAGATCTCCCTAGATGCAGTTCACCTGCCTTGGGGTATGGCTTCGCAAGTTCCTTTCCAATCCCACTGTGACTGCAGGATGTATCTATCAGCTGTTCAAGGAGAAAAAAACTAGACATTTGTTGGAACAGCTTCCATTTCCACAGTGTAACTACAGCTAGATCCCAGCTAGATGTAGCTTGGCTATCATCAAATAGTATATGTAGTTTATCCCCAAAATGTCTGTATATACATACCTGATGACAGTGAATATTTAATGATTCCAAGAATCACAAATATGCACATACAGGTACACACATATATGCCTAAAATTCATTTTGTATTAATTCCTTTGTACATAAAACTAGGAATCCCAAAGTTGCTTCCAAGAACCAGCATATCCCTGGTAGCAATCCAAAGGAGCATAAGACTCAGGCAGGTTTCTGTACGGACATGAGAAAAAAAGGTAAAAGTAGGTAAAGGCTCAGACACTTCTGCAGCAATATCCAGTAGTGATACTTATTTTCTTTGAAACTTTCTGTAAGTCTTAAAATCTTAGTTCTCTCTCTCTGTTAAATGGGAAAGGTAATACTCTTTTTCCATTCCTTACAGCTAACTTGTCAGCCAAGATTCGTTCACACTTGAGTAATGTGGTGATGGAATAAATATAAATGTTTAGATAAATACATACAGAGAAGACTGATAGACACACATGTAAAATGTCATCCCCCAAAACAATCTGCATGGTTAGCTTTAGGAATTAAGGAGTGGGACAAGTGGGGTTGAATGGCTGCTTGAACCCAATCCAAATCACTGGGATTGCCATTGGCAACCACAGTAACATATGTCTGCTATTAACCTTCCAAATGTCTACAAATCTGAAGAAAGTGTAATATTTAAAGTCCACGCTTGTCCATCCATTATACAAAGTCCTGACATGAAAAGCAAGTTTTGATGTGATACTTTTCCATTTTTCACCAGACTTTTTTCTATTGATTCCAACTCTAAAGCATTCTGTAAAAGTACATACACAGAATCAGAAATTAATAAAGCCACTTCAGAAACAATAGACCAAGCATATTTATGGGTTTTGCTGTATTATGTGTTCTCCTATCACTCCAATAAAGGTAAAGTTTCTGTGTGTGAACAGACAGCTGCTTCTTCAAAACATAGGGAAGGTAAAATTCAAACAACTGTGGCTTGCTTCAGATTACACAACCTTTCTTCTAGCCTGATGGTAGATCAATTAATTGGGAAAAGAGAAAAAAAAAAAGTTGAAAATCAATTTAATAGCATTCCTTTTAATCAGGGTTTCAGATTATCATGCAATCTGCAGGCACATAATAGCATTCATTTTGTCTATTTTATTGGAGAAACCACTACCACAATCTTTTCTGTCTTTTACAACTTCCATTTTCAGTGCTGATATTGTAGGTGCTTCCAATTATTTTAAGCCTGACAAGATTTCTAGCAAACATTACTAAAAGGCAAAAACACCGGAACTAAAAAACTGTGAACCCTCTCGATGTAATTCCCAGGCAGTTTCAGTGGATGCAGTTAAACTGAAAGGAACAGTATACACTAAGTCATGCCCACAGTCACTTCCTACATATATTTCTAAGTCCAAAATGATCAGTTTCCTTTAATAAAAATTTTAGCCGCTTTCCCGTATAGAAAATATAATTCTTTCACATGTTTTTTGGTCTGCAATTCAAATGTCACAGCTGCAGATCTTTTTGTCAAAGGCATAATTCTTTAATAAACACAGAATAAACACAGAGTTGAATTATTACATTAAATGTATACAAGATACATGATGGCATTTGTCTTTATGATGTATGTATGCGTAATGTATACTAAACATAAAGAAAAAAATAATTTCTACACCTACAACATGAACCCAATTTTTTTCCCACACTGCTTTTAAACACTTCTTGTTGTGTAAGGTCTCTTGCAGAGCAATATGCATATATAATTTTTCAAAATTTCATTAAACCAACAGTTTCCTTTGCAATACTTGTATGTCTTTTAAAATGATGTCTGACTTGTGAATTCACATAATCACTTAAATATAAATTTAGCTGCCCAAAAGTGACACCTTCACGTGTTTGCAAAACCCTATAAACCACAAACATCACTAGGAGAAAGAGAGACAGAGATCAGGAAGCAAGAGGTTTAAACACCTCTTAGGAACTGAACACTTCACAGCACAGCACAAAATTTGTTTTGCTGAAGCCCCTGCTACACACGAAGCGTTAAATCCTTGTGCAGCATGTTTTAGGTTATAGTTCTTCAAACTATAGTCAACAAATCTAGACAGAAAATTCTGTTATGAACTGCACTAATATGCAACATCCCACAATCTTACCACTTGTTTTCTCCTTCTTTGCCATTTCTCTAACATCTGGGAAAATAACATAAGGCTGATAATATTAGTAGAATCAGTTCCATAATTATGCAGTTATCACCCACGTTAGGAAAACACATTTTGTTCCTATTCTAGGTCAAGTCATTATGAAAATTTGTACGCTTGACTAGCAGAATAATTTGTAGAATGTTGTTTGCCCTGGAATTTTGCTATCATACTACCTCTAAAAGCCTGTTAAACTTCACAATTACGTTTCAGCTCCTGGGTGCCATCGGACAGGTCATGAGAAGCAGACAAGTGAGTGGTGAGTCTGTATTTCAACACTCGCAAAGAAAACGTTCCCGAAGCTGTTGTCTCCTTGGTAGGTGTTCAAATGACCTTTCAGCAGTGGATTGGCACAAAGTAATGGTCAATAACAGCGCTTTGCTGTAGGGAAACCTTCCACTCTGTCACCATGGTTTCCGGAGCTGAGAGACCCTTAAAAGTAATTTTCAGCAAATGGGACAAAATCAGGAATTGGATGTAAATATTCTTTGTCCAGTATGTTAAATCTGAGCTAGAGATTCCACAGCTCTACTTTAGAAGTGAAACCAACATGGGTATCCTGGCTTGTACTTTAAGTTTAAATAAGCACCATAAAAACGCACATGGTTTTACACTATTAAATGGTATCTGGAATGTTATTGTACATTATTATAAACAAAATACAGGAATGTCACAGTTGACTAAATTCCTATCAATTATGAAGTTAATTTTTACACACATTTAATACTTATCTCATTTTAGACTTTTCTATACTGAGAAATTTTCTTTTAAAGAAAAATGGTTTATACAGTTCACTTCCTGCCATAATCAAGGTCTTTCTAACCTGATATCTGAAGGTTATGCTTCAGTGAATAATTCAGTAGGTTAGTGAAACTGTGGCAGCAAAGAAAGTGCTAATCTTAGATGGAAGCTGTGAGGGATATTAAGAAACAATTGCAAAAAGTGACATATTTAATAGAGAAAGATTACTCTGTGCTACATCTATTTAATTTGAATTGAATAAATTTTGCCAGTATTTTATGAGATGCAGTCTGCAAATTATGTGAAACTTCATAGTGTCACTGAAGTCTAGAGGAAAGAATAAAGGATTTTTTTCCCCCTCAACCATTTTATGAGTATTGTGATTTTTGAGGACTTCTCACTCTTTCAAAAGAAATTTCAAAGGAACTAAAGAATCATTCACTGCAGGACTTTATTAATTTGAATTAAGAAAGAAGAAAGGGTAGTAAAAGGTGATAGTACTGAAAGATAAATAACAAGAGGTAATAGAAGGATCTTGTGTAATGAGACTTCTTGAAATAACTGAATTCCTTCTGGACTGTGACTGAGTGAGGCTGGATATGTTCTCAATCTTTCAGGGAAAATTTAGTTGATCTAGCTGAGACAAGTCTGAAAGTATAAGTAAATGCAAGTGTGAAAAATGATCCGGGGCAGTTTTTTACCCTTATCCACTAAACAGATCCTTAATGCAAACCCAGTCCTGACAAAAATAATTTAAGTCTATGTTCATATGATTCCTTGTATGAGTACATGGAATAGGAATATGATGTTACTACTAAAAATATTAAACTCATCCTATGTCATCGTAGAGGCAGAGATTATTAAAAAAACCTACTGATTGTGTCTTTTTTTAAAAAAGTATATTTTTTTTATTACTAATTTTGTTCGATATTTTAGCAGACTCCTTGCAAATTACACAAGGTGTATCCTCTTGACATATTCTTTGAAAAAAATAAAATAATTTGCAACATCTGGTGAAAGATATCTAAAATCTTAATTACAGAGCAAACCTTTTCAGAAGAGTAGAATACATTTCTGCATATCAAGAAACAATTTGAGACAGCAAAAAGATTCAAAGTGATGTAAAAAAGGTGAAGAGATCTTGCCCAAATTTTTGATCAGAAAACTGATTTCCAGGAATTTTAAACTTTTCCCCTGCACCACCATCACCCCACCCCAGGTTATTCTGCTGCTCAGTGCAAATTGTCTGATAGCTATAGATTTATTGTGTGGGGGTTTTTATTTGGGGATAGCAACATTTATTTTTTTTTTAATTACTTACACTATTTTATTTTTAAGTAGATGATAGACACAGTTAAAATAACTCTTTGGGAAATACTTCAGGAAAATGCCAACTGCGGAAACTAACCATACATCTTGAAGTTACATTTTGCGAGCTGTTCATCCTGACTGTGGATTCTTTCATATTTTCTTTTTCACTAAATGTCACAGTATTAAAAACTGAGAGGAGACAAGAACTCCTTCCCCTACACCCCTCTTCCCTCTAAATGCAAGAACGGTAAAGCCATTAGAAGTCCACACTACAGGTAAAATTGGTCTCTCTGATCTGCATGGTGGATCCAATATTCCCAATGGGAATTCTGAGCGATGTGGATACAGAGACAAATTTTGCTAATATTATGAAAAAGAATAATTTTACTATGCATTAACTGGTACTGTTAACACTGTAATTTCTACTGTACCCAACCCATTCATAATCCCCTTTGTCTGCTCCAAACAGACAGAAAGGACAAAACTACAGATCTACTGTGTATTTCAGAAAAAAATATTCTCTAGTATGCATGATTAACCTTATACTGAACAATTCATATACAAGCAGGAATGGAAATAGGATATGGAGCATTTCACCTCTGCTATAGGTTACCAGATCAAGTCTAGTTCGGGTCACTAGTAACCTAAAGATATTACAGCCTAATGGCCAGCTTGTGACCCAGATGAAATGAGCTGGAATTACTTAAATTCATGGAAATGCATTTCTGTGTCACAAAAAAACCACAAAACCCACACAGGACAAGCAACCTTCCTGGTAACATTAACAGCAAACAGTAACTGCTGAACTGTAGCAGAGATCAGGCTATCTTTTCACTTCAAATAGTGGTCATATGAGAAAGCTGCAGCAAGAAAGCAGTTGAAGTGTAGGAAAGACAAAGAAAGAAGCAGAGAAGGGATGCTGTGTTTGTCTATGTATCGTCTGATATGTGTACAAAGAGAAGACTTCAGTCTCAAGGCCTGTCAGTTCAGCACCTTTCACAAGTACAAAATGTCATGTACTACATACTGATGAAATAAAAGACAAAAGTGTCAAAGGAACCATTACACTATATTCTAGCAATGATCAGAGGATCAACAGCTTCCCTTCTAGATTGACACTATGTTAAACTATGCCAGCATATTTGGCCTGAACCTCTTCTTGCCTGCTCCAGTTTTACACCATGGGTGGAACTTAATTTATCACAACAACCTCACACTCTGTCAAGCGGAAGAGAAATTAAATAAATATGTATTTCCCTTCTAGGTTATCTTTTGGCTATTTTTCAATAGACGATATGGCTGCATGTATTCACACACATTAGGAAGCTCACTGTTTCTTCTGTTACAAAAAGTAAAGGGTGTTATGTTTACTCACCATACGGATGCAGTGAGTAATCCCAGTAGTCAGAATAACATCTTACACCAAGAGGGCTGCTTATAGTTGGAAAAGTAATGTGTGAAAATGCCACTATTTCAGCTTCACCTCACTCTGCATATTTGGCTGACAATGTATTTCTTGCATCAAAATATCCTTCTGTAAGTACAGATAATTATGGAAGAGCTCTGCATCTCAGCTATCGTGAATTGTGCTGGCCTCAGTGATACCAGAACGTACTATCCTCTGGTCTATTCCACCCACTCCAGCTGATAAATTTTGAAAATTCTCTGAGAGACCAAACACATGAAAGATGGTCCTAGCAGTGCTTGTGACCTGAAATGTCAGAAATGACTTGACATGACTTTACCAACTGATATTCCAATTAAAGCTTCTGGTTTTATTACCTAACTTCGATAATTGGTATGAAAGAGAAAATATCATTTTTGGCCATTACAGAGGCCTTTACAACAATAATTGCTGCTGCAGTAGTGTCCAAATTTTGAGTTAGATTACTACATCCAGTCAAAATTAGATTAAATGGCTAAAAAATGTTTAGATACTTGCTTTCCTCACAAATATTTTTACTAGCTTACAAGCCTCCAAGAGCTTTGATTATTCAATGAATGTAGGCTAATTGCCTACAGGTCTCTCTGTATTGCACCACTTACATAAATACAGTTACTAGTCTTCAAAGACTAGCAGATTAGGTTTTACAGGACCTAAAGTGAAATAATATGTAGCTTACTCTTTACCAGATGCACCTTTTTCCTGGCAGGAGATTTCCCCGATACATTCCAGAAGCACAGCTATAATGATGGTCGACTGCTGGGTGGAACCTCCTGCTGCTGATCAGCACGTGTTCCTGGTGAAATGGTATCTTCCTACCATCATAAGGGGCTACTGCTTAGGTACTTGTCTTAGGAAAGGCAGTCCATTTTAATTACATAATTTCATTACGATGCAAACATTGTAACAATCATTATTTGTACGGATACCATTCCTAGGGCTCTGTAGCACAAATAGCAGCCTGAAAAAGAAAGGAAGAAAAAAAGAAAAAAAAGAAAGAAAAAAAGAAAGAAAGAAGAGAAAAAGAAAGAAAAAAGAAAGGAAAGAAAGAAAGAAAGAAAGAAAGAAAGAAAGAAAGAAAGAA